GACAGAGGACAAGTTTTATAACCACTCAGAACTTTAATTTCCCCTCTGTAAAATGAGGACAATAATTGTACCTAATTTATTATGTCGTAAATATTGAATAATAATACATGAAGAGTATAGCACATACATTGGCATATAATTGGCATCCAACAAATGTTAGCTGGGACTGTTACAGTAATAAAGTGAATATAAAGTGCAGAGGATGATAAGCATAGATGTTCTGGAAACATGAAGAAAACTAGTTGCTTTAAGTATGAGGTGCATATGTGAGGATAGATGTCTTAGTCTGTTCAGGTTTCTATAACAAAATAACATAAACTAGGTGGTTTGTAACAACCGAATTTATTCCACACAGTTAAAGAGCCTGAAAAAATTTATAATGTGGGGAATTCTCCAAACATAAGATTGATCAAAAGATGCTAAATGACCATAAAAATAAATGAGGACTATATATACTACTGTGGAATTATTTCAGGATTTAATTGCTAACGTATAGTTTCCAAAAATTTGAGAATATGACTTGTACAAATATAAAATGAACATGTGTCAGTATTTTATTCAAGTCATCAATTGATAAGGGATCAATAAGATATTAAAACTGGTTCAAATAAGAATTGAAATGACAGTTATTTACATTCTCTATTCAGTAGAATCTACTAGACAGAATTCACTTGCGTTGCTATGTACAGGAATCATCTGCACAGTTATTCATTTTTTAAAAGATTTTACTTATTCATTTGTCAGAGAGAGAGAAAGGAAAGAGAGCACAAGCAAGGGGAGTGGCAGACAGAGGGAGAAGCAGGCCCACCGCTGAGCAAGTTGCCTGATGCCGGACTCGATCTTGGGTCCTGGGATCATGACCTGAGCCAAAGGCAGACACTTAACCGACTGAGTAACGCAGGCATCCCTAGTTATTAATTTTTTACAACCTAACTGTCCTTACAGAGTTGTAAAATAGCCTAGTCAATATAAAGTCCATCAAAGTTGTGCACTCATACAATCAAATAATCCTGCCTCCTGCCCTCAGGGTCTACTAGACAATGTCCAGACTCTTTTGCCTATTTCTAAGTATTGAAAAATTTTCTTAATACAATGTTAAGTGGAAAAAACCAAGGTGGAGAAAAATATGTATATTATATTACCTTCCACTTAAGAAAGGAGGAATACTAATACATTTGCATATTTTCTTATTTTTTAAAATGGGAAGATAAACCATAAATTGTTTAAATGGGTACCTATTATCAAGGGAAGGGAGTTGTGTAGACAGGACAAAACTACAAGCTAGACTTCTTTGAATATACCTCATTTTGCTGATTTGGCTTTGGATCCACATATATGTTTAACAAAATTACATAAATTTAAAAAGTGTCTCTAAAAATCAGAAGTAAAATGAGGGGCGCCTGGGTGGCTCAGTCATTTAAGCGTCTGACTCTTGATTTTGGCTCAGGTCTTGATCTCAGCGTTGAGAGATGGATCCCCACATCAGGCTCTGCAGTGGGCATGGAACCTGCGCAAGATTCTCTCTCCCTCTCCCACTGACCCTCTCTCCCCTCCCCCGTGCATGCACTCTCTGTCTCTCTCAAAAGAAGAAAAAATCAGAAGTAAAATGAAACAAATGAACTTAACTGGGTATACAGGTGGTGGCATAACCATACAGGGAACTATTCCAGATGACTTAAAACAAAATGATCGACTTACATCCTTAGCTGAATATGGCCTGAGCGGGGGAGGGGGGGAATCTGTCACCCTCTAAGGTCTTAAAATTATTCTCAGTAATAATCTTATTGGTGGTAGGCTTGGTATTGTTATTATAGAATATTATTGGATAAATTAAATGAGTATTTATGTTGATGTATTTTTTAAAGATTTTATTTATTTGAGAGAGAGAGAATGAGAATGAGAGAGAAAGCACATGGGGGGGAGGGTCAGAGGGAGAAGAAGCAGACTCCCTGCCAAGCAGGGAGCCTGAGGCGGGATTCCATCCAGGGACTCCAGGATCATGACCTGAGCTGAAGGCAGTCGCTTACCCAACTGAGCCACCCAGGCGCCCTATGTTGATATTTTTAAAGAACTGAAATTTTCAGCATGTTTGAAAGAGATATAGATGCAAGATTAGTGAAATCAGGTAAAAACTCCATAGCTTTGAATTTGAGTTTGAAGTATCAGTGTGAGCTTGGGATTTATTTAATCTATATAATAATTATATATAATATACATAATAATTATATAATATGTGATATACAATTACATATAAATAAAATTCCCTAGCTCTGTCTATTGAAAGCTTAGAAACAATGGTCGATCTGGTTCAGTGACATTCCTGGTGCCTAGATTATGTATTTAAACATCATTTCCACTAAAAGGAACCAGATCCCCTTGGAGAAATGGTTGATTCCAGGTCTAGGGCAGAAATTGTTCAAAATAAGCCTACAATGGCTTGTCATACTAGAAAGAAAAGAACCTATTAAAGAGTACGAATGTCATGCCAAATATTGAGACTCAAGAACTCAGGAGCCAATCTGAATAAGTTTCCACTGCCCAAAGGTGAGACAATATGAGTATCAATAAAGATAAAACTGTAATGGATCAAAACACATCAAATATGGTTAAATCCACGAATTCATAATGACACAAAAGTAGCTCAGTGTTTTGTAATGTATGGATCCGATTTGGATCTCAATTCAAACAAGCTATTTTTAGAAATGTATTAAGACAGGAGAATGTGAATACTGACATGTTTGATGGCATTAAGAAATTATTGTTTAATTTATTTCAGATGTGATAATGGTATTGTAGTTACATTTGTTTAAGATTCTTTATCTTTTAGAGATACACACTGGACTATTTATATAGGGAATAATCTGATGTCTAGGATTTACTTCAAAATAATCTGGATAGTGTGAGTGTAAATAAAACAACATTGGTCAGGTATCGATAACTTGAAGCAGGATAATGGTTTTGTGGAGGCTTATTTCACTATTATCTCTACTTGTATATATGTTTAAAATATGTAAAAAAGATTCTTTTAAAGCTAAATGACTACAAACCTGAGAATGTCTACTACAGAATAGAAGATTCAACATTATGACATTGAGTCTCCCCAAATTTATATACATATGTATGTAGTTACATATATAGCAATTCAATTATATACATAGCAATTCAATATAAATATAAATATAGTAATTCAAATAAAAACTGACAGAATTTTTCAGAAAACTTGATAAACTGATTTTAAAAATTCATATGATGAAGTTAACATGCACAAAATGCTAAGACAACTTTGAAAAAGAAAAACAAACAAGAGTCGTAGGGGTGACTTGTCCTACTAAACATCAAGAGATATAAAAAGCGCGGGGTGGGGGGATGGGTTAGCCTGGTGATGGGTATTAAAGAGGGGACGTTCTGCGTGGAGTACTGGGTGTTATGCACAAACAATGAATCATGGAACACTACATCAAAAACTAATGATGTAATGTATGGTGGTTAACATAACAATAAAAATATTATTAAAAAAAAACTGTGTGGTATTGAAACAGCAATAGAGAAAAGCAGATCAATGAGCTCAGAAATTGACCTATGTATATATGAGAATTTGGTATATGATAGAGGTTTCCCAACACAATGGGAACAAATTAAGTAAACTCCCTACTTTGCATCATAAACAAAAACTAAATTCCAGATGAAATAAAGACCTAAAAGCAATAACTATTAGAAAGAAAAATCTAATACTCTAAAACTATGAGAATTAGGTGAGTGTATGTTTTTTACATTGGAATGAAAAACATTTTCTTTTTTTTTTAAGATTTTATTTATTTATTTGACAGAGAGAGACACAGGGAGAGAGGGAACACAAGCAGGGGGAGTGGGAGAGGGAGAAGCAGGCCTCTCGCCAAGCAAGGAGCCCGATGCAGGGCTCGATCCCAGGACCCTGGGATCATGACCGGAGCCGAAGGCAGATGCTTAATGACTGAGCCACCCAGGTGTCCCTGAAAAACATTTTCATAAATGAAGCCAAAAAAAGCATATATCATAAGGTAAAAGTGAATAAATTTTTCTACATCAACATTGTGAAATTTCATATAGAAAAAATCAATATGTTAGACCCCTGTGAAAGACTGAGAGAAGATATTTTTAGTATATAGACTTGTCGAAGATTAGTAGCCAGAATATATATATATATAAAGCAACTACAAAACACTGAGAAAAAGCAACAATACATTAGAAAAATGAAAACATATGAACAGACATTTCACAGAAAACTCCAATGGTCCATAATGTGTGAAAAGATGCTCAACCTCATTAGTAATTAAGAATACACAAATTATTAAAAATGCTAGTTCATCTTACCCCTGCTCCACCCAGCTAACCACTCTAGCACTTAGATGTACCTAGGCCTATTTTCTTTCCATGAATATGCTAACAAATATTACTATCAATAAAGATTTTGAGGGGTGCCTGGGTGGCTCAGTCGGTTGAGCGTCTGCCTTCGGCTCAGGTCGTGATCCCGGGGTCCTGGGATCAAGCCCCACATCGGGCTCCCTGCTCAGCAGAGAGCCTGCTTCTCCCTCCCCCTCTGTCTCTCCCCTCGGCTTGTTCTCTCTCTCAAATGATAAACAAATAAAATCTTTAAAAAAAAAAAGATATTTTGAATTGATGAACCAAAGAGTAGTTGAGTAAGAATGAGACAACAGTAATCACAGATGGTTACAGATTTTTGGAGGAAATTCTGGAGGAAACTGGGATTTCAGGGGCTTAATCCAAATTTCTTCATAACTAAATTTTTCCATCTGAAAATTGGTGTTTTGTGGTAAAGTGAATCATCCAAATTGTGCTCCTGTTTTGCTGAGTTTGTTCTACTGATCGGCTCCACTGGGGTGCTTTTTGGTGGCTTACTGTACCCACTGTACCCTCCAAAACCAGAGGGTTGAGGGCCAGAAGATAGCTGATGCAGTTAGATTTTTAAATGAAACTGAAATGAAAGTTCACTTCCTCATTGTGGATACCTCATGTGACAAGCCCAGTATCTTTTTAAAGTCAGTGTGACTAAAGACCCTCTGCTGCCTTCAAACCTTTGGAGAGGGCTCGCCTTCCCGCATTCATAGTATGGGAGTACCTGCCGGTTCTATGATGTACGTACTGTCTGGTCTTTTTCTACCGCTTGGTCTTTAAATCCTCCATTTGTGTCTTTAGCTTGCCGTGCCTGCCAGGCTTTAAACTGTTGGTTTCAGGAAGTAAACGAAAATATTGTGTCGCTCAATTTGCCTCTTGTTTTTTTGACTAAAGAAAATCTTTTTTGAAAAGTTAAATATCTGCTTGCACATCTAAACCTGAGGCTGAAACGTAGCTTTTTTTGGAATATAATCTGAAGATTTACATGGCTGAAATTGCAGCTGTTTTGAATTTAAAAGAATCAGAAAAGAAAGTAGAATCCAGTTTGAGGGAGGTAGTCACTGAATTCTGTTCAAGTCTTTTTGCATTAAATATAGAAGTGGTGTTTTCAAAAGTACTTAAGTGCTTCCTTTGAAATAGATATTTTGATTATTAGAAAAACTGGTTAAAAAAATAAAATGACTCTAGGATTTGAAAGCAATACATGGGAGGTGTCTTTCAATTACCTCTAAACATTGTGGATACTTAAATAGACCAATTAAGAAGAGCCCATGTATTCAAAAATTATGAAGATAAACTGATTTTTCAAAGGTTTGCCCCTTGAGAATGGTGGGGGGCGATTTCCTTTGATTAGATTTGTTGGCAAATCCTGTAAAGTCCCTGCCTCCCTCTCCTACCCAGTTCCCCCTACTTTGGATGAAAGTTTGGCATACCAGGTGTCAGGAAATTTCTGAAAATCACTTTCTAAAGTGCTACTAAGTATTGGAAGTGGTATTCCAGTCATAAATCTACAGGTTACTCCTTGTGACAATAAATCCCAGAAAGTTTCCTGTATAATTCTGATTTGTATTGTCCTTTTGACAGACTTTACAGTGCTATTTTTTTAATGTAAAAATTTGGTCACAATATATGCAGATAATAGCTACTCTTCTTATGTTACCTTTCCTTTAACAGAAGCAAATGGCTGGTTTGCATGCTCCTGGCGTGCTCCTGTGCAGAGGCACAGGTACATAAAGATCCCACTCTGGACCATCACTGGAATCTTTGGAAGAAAACCTATGGCAAACAATACAAGGAAAAAGTATGTGGGATTGTTACTTGAGCAATTTGCTTTTGCTCAAGTATCCTATGCTTTCTCCCCCTGAAAATTATATTCTTACAAGCAATGTTTTCAATAAATGCTTACGCACTCATTTCTTGCCAGATTCTATTCTTGGTACCAGAGATATAGCAGGAAACAAAGTTCCTGTTTCTGTGGAGCTCATATTATAGCAGGGGAGACAGGAATTAAGTAAATAAATAGCAGATATATAGTATGGTAGGTGGTGACAACTGCAGTAGAGAAAAATAAAGCAGGGCATGGGGGTCTAGCGAGACCTAGATCTGGAGGGCTCTGGGAGATGGCTGTGAGGGGCTGGAAGTGATTATTCTTTATATACAACAGAATGCTCAGGGAAGCACCCTCATCAAAGGTGACACATGAGCCAAGAATTCACAGAAGCCAGGGAGCAAACAAAGTTGTAATGGGAATGCAGGTTCCAGGTCAAGGGAGATAAAGTACATGTTTGGGGACAAAAAGACCTATTTCAGTCCCTGGGCATAGAAGCACTACCAGATGTTGTTTTTTGACTTTCAATTCCCATGGTGTACTTTTGTTTTTATTTCAATGCATACTTATTGATTTTTTTAAAGATTTTATTTATTATTTGACACATAGAGAGATAGTGAGAGAGAGAGCAACAAGTGGGGGGAGCTACAGGCAGAGGAAGAGGGAGAAGCAGGCTCCCCGCTGAGCAAGGAGGGCTCCATCCCAGGACCCTGGATCATGACCTGAGCTGAAGGCAGATGCTTAACCGACTGCGCCACCCAGGTGCCCCATATATTTCCTGATTTTTAAGACCTTAACCAGGACACCTGGGTGGCGCAGTCAAGCATCTGCCTTTGGTTCAGGTCATGATCCCGGGGTCCTGGGATCGAGCCTGAGCCCCGTTTTGGGCTCCCTGCTCAGCAGGGAGTCTGCTTCTCCCTCCTCCCTTGCTCCTCCCCCACGCTCATTCTCTCTCTGTCAAATAAATGAAATCTTTTTTTTAAAAAAAAGACCTTAATCCTAGTGCTTCAAATAACTGAGTCTTATAACTACATACTATTTCTGAGTTTGGGGGTGCCTGGCTGGCTCAGGAGACTCTTAATCACAACTCTTATTCTCAGGGTCGTGAATTTGAGCCCCATGCTGGGCATGGAGCCTACTCAAAATAATATTTCTGAGGGGCAGCTGGCTGACTCAGTCAGTGGAGCACGTAACTCTTGATCTGGGGGTTGTGGGTTCGAGCCTCACGTTGGGTATAGATTACTTAAAAATAAAATCTTTAAGATATATATATCTCTGACTTTGTAAACAAGAATTATGTATTAACTTCTTCAATACATTATTTTTGTATAAAAGTGACACTTTTAGTAGGATGTGCACTGAGTTGTTTTCTTAGTAGTGATGAATTTTACCCTCATCCAATCCCCTTTAGAAACAAGCCTCTAATTTCAAGGTTAACCAGAGTAAGTTGTTCAGTTAGCACCACTATCTGGTTAAATGAATACTATCTCTCTTTTTAATGATCCCAGTCCCTTGGAAGGAATGAAAATAACTTTTGATTAGTATTCTACCTTTATAATTTATTTCAAAGTTCAAATAACATAATGCTTTTGCACACTTAATAAACTATAATATAGTGTAAATGTGACTTTTATATGCATGGAGAAACCAAAACTTTTATTTGACTCACTTTACTGTGGTATTTGCTTTACTGCAGTAGTCTGGGGCTGAGCCTACAGTAGTTTTAAGATATGCCTGCGACTATGTTCTTCTTCCTTACGTTTTAGAACGAGGAAGTAGCAAGGCGTCTTATCTGGGAAAAGAATCTAAAATTTGTGATGCTTCACAATCTGGAACACTCAATGGGAATGCATTCATATGATCTAGGCATGAACCATCTGGGAGACATGGTAAGTAAATTACAAATAATCCTACTTTCATCTCTGGGTACGCATGATTTCCATCTCCCCAAAGGCAATCTGAAGGTTAACAGCAAAGGAATGTGTGTGTGTACAAAATTAGAAAGCAGTAGAATTTAAGGACATAAGAATTTGCAGATTCCTTGTTGAGTCCTACTATGACCACTTTCCTTAATAAATTTTTTAGAGGCATATTTGAAACTCAGAGGCTAGTATTGCTTTTGTTTTTTATTAATTCTAGAAAGCACTGCCCAAAGAGTACTCACAATCTTTTAGACTAAGTTACCATACTTATGTACATCTGAACTGATAATTCAGTATGGTCCAACTGCCTTCTTAATGAGAGAGTGTGGGTATTTAATATCACAAATACTCTCCCATTAGTTTTTAAATTTTTTTCTACCCTACAAAATTTTACTGTTGAGGCCAAAATTAAGAATCATAGTACCTCTTGGAAGAGAACACCCTGGGTAGATTAAATTTCTACCTAAATGCAGGCATCTTCTTTGTAATTCTTTCTCACAAGGAAAACCAGTTCAGTCCACTTTTTAGACAGCCCTTGTATAAAATTCTGCCTTGCTTTAAACCAAAAATCTGCCTTCCTGTAACTTCTAGTTTTTATCACTTTCTTCTTCTTCCCAATGCCTAAATGGTTGCTAAGACAAAGTGTGAAAGAGACCCAGATAATTCACCTATCAGATACTTAGCAATACCTATGTTGGTCACAACTACCACTAGTTTTTCTAGGTTGTTAAATTTATTCACAGTTACAGTTATTAGAATATTGAAAAGAAGGTCATAAGTAAAAGGAGATATATATATATTTGTCTTGTAGACCAGTGAAGAAGTGATATCTTTGATGAGTTCCCTGAGAGTTCCCAGCCAATGGCAGAGAAATATCACTTACAAGTCAAACTCTAATCAGAAATTGCCTGATTCTGTGGACTGGAGAGAGAAGGGGTGTGTTACTGAAGTGAAATACCAGGTGAGTATTGTTATCTCAGGCTTCTGTACCCCAGGAAGAGCTCTCTCTTCTGTCAATACTTAGTCCAGCTACATAATTTGGCGGCAGAATCTCCCTAATGTTATTTCTAATGATTTTTGTTATTCGTGTCTTCCCAACTAAATTGTAAGCTCCTTGAGGACAATGTCCACATATCATGCTTTATTTGTATTCTCCACAGTTTAGTCCTTGTTTAGTCCTGCTGTGACCACTTTCCTCAACAAATTTTTTAGAGGAATATTTGAAACTTGCGGGCTACTATTGCTTTTGTTTTTTTATTAATTCTAGAAAGCCTTGTCTAAAGATTACACACAATCTTTTAGAGTAAGTTACCATACTTACATAAATCTAAATTGATAATTAGAATACCAATGGTTAGAGCCACATTAGACAAAACTGTGAACTGAGCAAATACGTTTCTTTAAGACAGATTTTTAGTGCTCGTACTATCGATCAACTGCACTGGACCTTCCACCAAGCCCATTGCCTGAGAAACAGTATTGTGTGTGTGAGAGAATATTGATCAGGAAGTTTCTCCCTACATTTCAGGATTAAAGGAGAGGGAAAACCCAGAGCTGAGAGTGGCCTATAAATTGTACCAGTCAACTCATGACTAGGCTTGCATTGTTACAGTAAGAAATACAGTGTGGGTTTTATAAATTTGTTCCTATGTTTTTGTATTTCCTTTAGTTCGCTTTAAGGGGTGCCTGGGTGGCTCAGTTGGTTAAGCATCGGACTCTTGATCTCAGCTCAGGTCTTGATCTCAGCGTTGTGAGTTCAAGCCCCATGTTGGACTCTATGCTGGCCATGGAGGCTACTTTAAAAAAAAAAGTGGCAAAAATCCTAAATAAGGGTAAAACACATGTATCACCATAGAGGTGAGGGTAAGGGAGAAGAAGCTGAGTGTTCTGAGCATCTGCCCCAGCTGGTAACCAATGAAGAAAGTAAACATATATTTTTATTTTTATTTATTTATTTATTTAATTTACTTTTTTAAAAGATTTTATTTATTTATTTGACAGAGAGATAGAGAGAGAGCACAGGTAGGCAGAGTGCAGGCAGAGGAAGAAGGAGAAACAGGCTCTCCGCTGAGCAGGGAGACTGCTGTGGGGCTCGATCCCATGACCTGAGCTGAAGGCAGACACTTAACCAACTGAGCCACCCAGGCGCCCCTTTTATTTATTTATTTTTAAAGATTTTATTTACTTATTTGAGAGAGAGTGAAAGCGAAAGAGAGTAAACATATTTTTTAAAGAATTAATTAATTTATATTTGAGAGAGAGCCCAGGTGCGGGGAGGGGCTGAGGGAGAGGGAGAAGCAGAATCTCCCTGAGGAGAGTGCCTGACACGGGCTCGATCCCAGGACCCCGGGATAATGACCTGAGCCAAAGGCAGACGCTTAACTGACTGAGCCACCCAGGCGTCCCAAAAGTAAAAATTAAGAAGTGAATGGTACTGCTAATATCTTATTCTGTTCTTCCTAGATATTTTTCTTGCAATTTCTAGTTTCTTAACTAGAACTTGGCTGGCTCAGTCAGTAGAGCATGCAACACTCAATCTCAGGGTCGTGAGTTCAAGCCCCATGTTGGTCATGGAGGCTACTTAAAAAAAATAAGAAAATAAAAGTTTGGGAAGATCCAGTAAAGTACACATTTAGGTATTAAATATAAACAATCTAATGGAGCTCCTTTCCCTGGATGCTTGCATTTTAATGGGTGATTTTGCTTTAACCAAAAGCAAATTCAATTGCTTCCTTTGGGTAGAGAGCAAGGTGGAATGAAGGAAGAAGTGAAGAGAACAATTGTGATAAGGCTCCGGATCTTTTTTAACTAAAGCAGCTTTGTGTTTTTCTGTTTGTTTATGCTTCCCTGTAAACTATCTTTGATCAAAAAATTAGGAAGCTAAAAATGTGTGGAAAAAGGGGCACCTGGGTGGCTCGGTCATTAAGCGTCTGCCTTCGGCTCAGGTCATGATCCCAGGGTCCTGGGATCGAGCCCCGCATTGGGCTCCTTGCTTGGCAGGAAGCCTACTTCTCCCTCTCCCACTCCCCCTACTTGTATTCCCTCTCTGTCAAATAAATAAAATCTTTTAAAAAAAAGTTTGAAAATATTTAACCATATATTTTCAGGCCTTATTTGACAGGAGAAAAGGTATTTTAGGTCAAGAGCTCCTCTCAAAATCACTGTACTGTAGATGACTATCTACCTTACTTATGGGTGAAGATAGCTGGGATCTAGTGCATGCTCAGGAGGTACTGTTTCTTAATATATTTGACTATGGCAATTATGCTCTGAGCTCAGCCATTTGCAAATCTCTCTCAATATAGGACCTTGCTCAGAGAATAATCAAGTATTTAGTCTTCATGTCCATGTCTAAGAAATGAAGAAACTGTAGTGGGGGGAGCTGTTCCTGTAACAACCGACAGAGCTGACATGTTGGGAGGTACCCAGTTTGTGTTATGGAAGTCCTCCTTCCCGACTCTCTGATTACCTTTGTGACCTTGTCTCTGTTTTAGGGTGCTTGTGGTGCTTGTTGGGCTTTCAGCGCTGTGGGGGCCCTGGAAGCACAGCTGAAGCTGAAAACAGGAAAGCTGGTATCCCTGAGTGCACAGAACCTGGTAGATTGCTCAACTGAAAAATACAGGAATGAAGGCTGCCATGGTGGCTTCATGACAGAGGCTTTCCAGTATATTATTGATAACAAGGGCATCGATTCAGAAGCTTCCTATCCCTACAAAGCTATGGTGTGTCACAAGCAAACTTTTTTGGGACTTTATGCTATCCCTTGACTAACTGAATTAAACTCACAACCAAGCCAATCGCTTGAGAAGCAGTATATGAAAATCCTGATCAAGAATTCTTAAATTTTCAAGAGTTCGCTGCATTAGTCAGTAGTCTTCTTAATTCATCAGTGGCACAATGGTTTTAAGCAAGTAGAATTCATGAAAAATCGATTTTCAGTAAATCTTAGAATTCTTTCCGTTCATCTGCTTGGTATTTCAACTTGTTTTTCCTACGGCCTCCCATGCTCAATCTCATTCTCAGATCATCAACCACATCATTCTCCTACCTACTAAAAAGCTAAATAATGCTCTCTTCTTTCTCCTCACAAGTTCATGACATATTTTGTTAAATGAATTAATATATCCATATTACTGAAAATTTAGAAAACATAAAAATACCACTCCAAAACGTCCTACCTTAACCACCATTATTTTGGTTTATTTCTTTCAAGTTCTTTGTCCTATTAAGCATTTAAAAAGCCATACATGTATGCACAACAAAAGTGAATTTATAACCTCTCTTTCCTACTAAAATATGCACTCTAAGTGTTTTTCAGATTATGTGGTCTTTATAAACCATCATTATGCACGCATTATATCATCAAAAAGATTTTAAAGAAGTTCTAGTATAGAGTTTATGATCTTTACATAGTATACCCCTACAATCCACCTGAGAGGGACATTATCCAGCCACTTTTGCATGCATGAAGATGTTCACAATTTAAAACAATATAATAAAACAATATAATATAATGAGTTATGTATTTCCTCTGTTACTGGTGAAACATGGAACTGTTAGGGTTTTGGAAGATTTAATTTTTCTTCCTTTAAAAGGAAGAAGGAACCTTAGGCATCTGAAAGGCTAAATGAGGAAAGAAAGCATATTTGAAATCCAGACTTAGGATGTTGGTGATATAAAGGAAGTTGAAGTATACTTCTTTATCTGATTTATACCTTTTTTTGCAGGATGGAAAGTGCAGGTATGACTCAAGAAATCGAGCTGCCACATGTTCAAAGTATACTGAACTTCCCTTTGGCAGCGAAGATGCCTTGAAGGAAGCTGTGGCCAATAAAGGACCTGTGTCTGTTGCTATTGATGCAAGACACTCTTCTTTCTTCCTGTACAGAAGTGGTAAAAACTCAGATGTGCTATCTTCTTATTATATGCGGCCCCTGCACCATAAGAAAGAATATTATCCTTCCCCATCACCCCACCTCTGATTGTTCAGGTTAAACAGAATCCTTCATTTCATATATGTATTTTATATCCAGTTCTAATTAGTAAAGTAATACTCAACAAAATTTCCTAGTACTATAGGCCAAGTACTATGATAAATTCTTTCCATGCATTATCTTATTTAATCCTCACAATAACCCTATTTTACAGATGAACAAGTCTTAGGCAGTTAACTTGCCAAAAGTCATACAGTCTGGAAGTGGTCAGCTAGGATTAGAAACCATGCTGCTTTGACTCCAGAGCCTGGGCTCCTAACCCCTGGAGCCACTGTGCACTGTAGGTGCAGCACTGCCGGATACAAGGAGGGCACCCGCCAGTGTTAGAGCATTGTGTTAAACCAAGTAAATGGCTATACTGTTTTATTAAAAAAAAAAAAAAAGCCTCACCCAAAGATCATTTCATCTAGTAAAGAATAAAAATATACGGAATAAACAATTTAGGAATATATACAAAGAAATACAGTAACTGACATAACTGACTCTATATAAATTAAAAATGATTAGAAAAAGGGGGCACCTGGGTGGCTCAGTCGGTTAAGTATCCAACTCTTGATTTCAGCTCAGGTCATGATCTCAGGGTAGTGAGATTGAGCCCCGTGTCAGGCTCTACATTCAGCACAGAGTCTGCTTGGGATTCTCTCTCTCTCTCTCTCCCTCTGCCCCTCCTCTTGCTCGTGCTCACTCGCGGTCTCTCTCTCAAATAAATAAACAAATAAAATCTTTAAAAAATAATTAGAAAAAGGTAGCTGTTTATCAAAGATTTCTGAGGGAACTGTGACTGGATCAATGCCAAACTTGGCAAGAAAACCAATAAATACAGAATTGATGGCAAAGAATTATGAACTCCACATAGTTTAATGAGAGTATATGTTCCTAAAATCATAATTCAACTTGCTTGCCATGTATATAAAACAGTCTACTAAAAGCAATAGCATTTTCAAATGTCCTTATTGTCACATACCGTTCACTCTTTTTCTCCACCTATATTTTATTCTCAGGTGTCTACTATGACCCATCCTGTACTCAGAATGTGAATCATGGTGTATTAGTGGTTGGCTATGGTAACCTTAATGGGAAAGACTACTGGCTTGTGAAAAACAGGTAATATATTTGCACTTTAGTGCATATTTAATTAAAATAAGGAATTCGATGGTGCTTCAACAAATGCTTTCCTGTGATTATGATGATGATGATTATGATAATGACAATGATAAACATTCATAGCTTCTTATAAAGTGACATTCTAAATTAATTACTCAGTGCCCCCATTTCCTCACTTCCTGTTCTGGCTTCAGCAGTTTATTTTCATGATTTTTCTTCTAGAATACTTCTCTGACCATTCCTTCTCAGTCTCCTTTATAAATATCTATTCCTCTGCTTAGCCCCCATATGTTGGTCTTTCCTCCGGGGCTCCATCCTTTGCCCATTACTCTTCTTAGCCTACACTTTTCTTGTGATTTTAGCCATAACCTATATACTGATAGCTTTAAAGCTCAAGCCCTAGCTCTATCCTCTGCCCTGAAATTCGGACTTATTTATCTGGACATATCCACTTCCATGTATCTTAGTTTCTCCGAACTCAGTATATTCAAGGAATTCAGTACCCTCTCTACCATATTGTGTCCTTCCCCAGAACTTCCTGTCTCACTAAATGGCAACAACACACAACACAGTCACCCAATTAGATACTATAGATTTGTTGTAGGCCAGATCTAATCAAGCAACAAGTCAAACTAATTTCCCACATATCTGTCCTTGCTTCTTTCACCTCTCCATTTCTTCCATTATTGCTTTGGTTCAGACATCCCTTGCCTGGACTATTCCTGTAGCCTTCAAGCTGGTCTCCTCTACTCTCAAATCCATCTTTTGTAAACTGCTTCCAAACTGGTATGTCTCAGATATGACAAACTGGGCTTATAATTGTTCTACAGAGTACCATTTGGTATAAAATTAATGTTCCCTAGTGGAGAAGACAAGTCATCTATGTTGTGGTCCCTGCCTGGCTTGCCAGGCTCAGTTGCTGGCACTTGTCTCACACTTTTCATTCCAGTTACATTGAACTATACACAGAGTTCCCATACATACCATTTTATCTTTAATATCTTCATGTCTTGGTTATGCTGTTCCCTCTGCCGGGAACATTCTTTCTCCTTACTTGGTTTATTTCTCCTTTTCCTTCAAAACCAGCTAAGGCATTCTCTATACCAGAAATTTCCTTCTAAATCCTTGGGCTGGGTAAAATGTCTTTTTTCTATGTTCCCAAAATGTCTTATGTACACTGGAGTATTTTATACATTATATTTAAATTGTATGTTTACCATCTATGACTAATATTCGGTATGCACCTTTGGGGTAAAGATCTGTATTGTCCTTGTGTCCTTAGCACAATACATGGCACACTAGAAGGTGGTAGTATTTGTATGGCCTATTGGGAAAGTAGTTGAGGAAACAATATCTTGGTTCACTTGTAACCTATTCACAGCACTGATCAGCTTGGGCCTGGACCAGTGATAATGTTTTTATATGAAGCAATATTTTCACTTACATCTTTTTTCTTGTTGACTTCCTACAGTATGTATTCTAACTTCCCTTCCCTATTGAAACTGCTCTTCTGGAAGACCATTTATATCTTTTAGTGTTTAAATTCAAAACTCCTTCTCAGCACTTACTCATTCAATGAGCATTTACTAGGCATCTACAATGTGATGGGCATTATCTAGGCCCTGGAAATACAAAAATTAATGAGAAATCATCCTGTCCCAAAAAAAGCTCACATAACAGTCCAGTGGGGAATTAGATATATTTTTAAAACAATAAAACACAACACATCACGGTATAATGATATATGTCTCAATGGCTATGGGGCCATAGATGAGGAGATGCCTAACTGCCTAAAAGTTTCACAGAGAAGGTGCTACTTATTTGCATTAAGTTTTCAGATGAGTGGAATGCTCATGTGTTAGAGGAGGAAAATAAATGGCCCAATCACCTAAAAAGGATATGCAATGGCACACAAATGCGAAAAATTTCTCTGCTTTATGAACTCTCTACTGCATTTATTTCTTTGGCATCTACGAAATAGACATAACACTGACTCATTTTGCTGTATCAGCTTTAGCCTCATTTCTTACTTTCTTCCACCTGTCCCTTATGCTCAAGCTCTAGCTGTACTAACGCATAGTCATCTGCAACTTTAGTTTCAACTATTGCCATTATGTGGGTGACAGCCAATTCACAAACTCTAAAAACGATCTCTCTACTAAGCAACAGACTTCCATGTCCAACTTCCAACTTGACAGCTTTGTGAAAAAATCCAAATTTCCAGATCGCCTGGATGGCTCAGTCAGTTAAGCAACTGACTCTTGGTTTCAGCTCAGGTTGTGGTCTCATGGGTTTTAAGATGGAACCTCGGGCCCCCAGCTGCCCTGCCCTCCACACTCAGCAGGGAGTCTGCTTGAAGAGTCTCTCCCTCTGCCCCTCCCGCCACTCACACGTGCTCTTTCTCTAAAAAATAAATAAATCTTTTTTAAAAAATCCAAATTTCCAGGTGCCTGGGTGGCTCAGTTGGTTAAGCATCTGCCTTCAGCTTGGGTCATGATCCCAGGGTCCATGGGAGTCCCATGTCAGGCTCCCTGCTCAGTTGGGAGTCTCCGTCTCCCTCTGCCCCTCCCTGCTTGTGTTCTCTCTCTCTCTTGCTCCCTCTCTCTCTTAAATAAGTAAAATCTTTAAAAAAATGCAAATTTCCCACCTGCCTACCCTACTGCTACTCACAACACACACACTCTCTCTCTCTCTCTCAAGTCTAAATTCAAATTCCCTCTCTCCTTCCATCTAAACTTGCCTTCCACCCTCCACCCCTGAAAAGTATTTTAGAATAAGCCCAAGGGAAAATAATTCCCTATTTTGAGTAATGCATCACCATCTTCAGGTTATCAAAGCCTTGGTATCATCTTGGACTCTCCCTTCTCTCCTTCAATCCATATAGCCCTGTCCATTCGGCCTTTGAATCATATTTTATATTTCTTTCTATTCCTGCTCTATTTCAGATTCCATTCTCACCCAGCCTCGGAAGTATCTTCTTAAAATATAGATCATGTAAACCCATGGTCAAAAATTCTAAATAGTTTACCATTGTCATCATAATGAAGTCTAAATTCCTAATCAGGTGTTCAAGATTCTCCATTATCTAGTTTCCAACATAGCTTTCTAGACTTTTCTCCCTCTTTGTTCTCATGCACCCATATTTACACTCTGGCCACAGTGAACTACTTACTCATCATTCCTAAGTTTATAGACACTTAGCTATTTCTGTTTCTTATGCTATTTTATCTTTCTGAAATGCCCTTAAAGCCCATTGCTGCCTACAGAAATCCCACCTGTCTATGGTGAAATGGGCACTTGCATACATTCCAGTGGAAGAATAAATTGTTACAATCCTTCTTGAAAGCAGTTCGATAATATGAATCAAAACCTTTTTAAATGTTCACATTCTTTGTCCAATTTTTTCTCATTTCTTTGAATCTATATGAAGAAAATAATCCTAAATATGGGGAAAGCTTCATACCCAATTTATGTAAATTGTAGCATTCATTCTTCTTCTTTAATAGTGAAAACCAGTAAACAACTGAAAATGCCTAATAGGGACAATATTAAACTATTACACACTCAAGCCCATGTATTAGAAATTATTTTTACTCAGACTATTATTAATAACCTGATAAAATACTTATAATAGATTTTTTAAATTTTTTATTGTTATGTTAATCACCATACATTACATCATTAGTTTTGGATGTAGTGTTCCATGATTCATTGTTTGTGCATAACACCCAGTGCTCCACACAGAACGTGCCCTCTTTAATACCCATCACCAGGCTAACCCATCCCCCCAACCCCCTCCCCTCTAGAACCCTCAGTTTGTTTTTCAGAGTCCATCATCTCTCATGGTTGGTCTCCCCCTCCGATTTCCCCCCCTTCATTCTTCCCCTCCTGCTATCTTCTTCTTCTTTTTTTTTCTTAACATATATTGCATTATTATAATAGATGTTTAAATGGAGAATACTGGGCCACCTGGGTGGCTCAGTCATTAAGCATTTGCCTTCGGCTTAGGTCATGAACCCAGGGTCCTGGGATCGAGCCCCACATCGGGCTCCCTGCTTGGCAGGAGGCCTGCTTCTCCCTCTCCCACTCCCCCTGCTTATGTTCCTGCTCTCACTGTGTCTCTCTCTGTCAAATAAATAAATAAAATCTTAAAAAAAAATGGAGAATACCTATAAACATAAAATTTATATACAATATAAATATTACGTTTAAAATAGTATGCCCAATTTCTATGATTTATGTTATACTAAAGGACCAGAAGGAATTATACCAAATGTTAATAATGGTTATCTTTGTCTACCTTCATGTATTTTCAAAAGTCTTTAACAAGTACCTTATTACTTTTAAAATGAAAAAAAAACTCACTAAAAATCCTATTCATTCAGGTGCCTGGGTGGCTCAGTTGGTTAAGCGACTGCCTTCGGCTCAGGTCATGATCCTGGAGTTCCAGGATCAAGTCCCGCATGGGGCTCCCTGCTCAGCAGGGAGTCTCCTTTTCCTTCTGACCCTCCCCCCCTCTCATGTGCTCTCTCTCTCTCTCATTCTCGCTCTCTCAAATAAATAAATAAATAAAATCTTTAAAAAAAAATAAAAATCCTATTCATTCTTCAAAACCTACCTCACATGCTATCTCCTCCATACCCCATTAATTTATTCAGAATTGTTTCTGTACTTCTAAGCTTTAGAAATGCTTTATAAATTCTAGCTATTTCTGTAAAGCATGCTCCATCACTAGAATATAAACTTCTTAAAGGTAGAATAGTCTCTTATTCATTTTTGTATCTTCATTCATACCTTGATTCAACAAACATATACTGAGTACCAATCAAATGGCAGAGTGCCAAGCAGATTTGGCAATGAAAAATAGATTTGGCAATGAAAAATACAGACTTTCTATCATCCTTCATGTTATTCATAGTCTAATAGAGTCAGGAAAACGGGTAGGTATATGTACTGACCATTGCAATAGAATGTGATAAACACTAAGATAAAGGGTAGAA